GTTACATAAGATAATAAGTGACAAATGTATAAAGACATCAGTATAAGGACAAGTTTTTCCATTTCTGCCCCCTATATATGATGAAATGAATTTGCTGCATGCATTTAAATGGCATTCAAGTTGTTCACTAACAAAAGGCATCATTGTGTGCACGTTGCACCTGGTATTATCTGATTATATCTAGCTGGACCAATCCATCCTCATCTTTACAGTTTCACTCATCACTTTCCCTCTGGTCCTTTGTCTTTCTTCTTTCCTCCATCCCATTTACTCGTTCCAACACGTTCCCTTCCTTTGAGTTTTTGTGCTCCTTCTGCTCATCATATTCCCCTTTCGCTTTGTTCTGTATCTTATCCTCCTCCTAAACTCGGTCCGATTGAAATCATTCAGGCATCAAATCCCAATAGCCACTTCTGCCACAGAATCAGTGCAAACAAACAGCTGCTGCCAGTATCAGTGCACAATTATTGTCTCAGGATGTGTAATTCTGCATGGAGTTTGGTTTTGCAGTATTTATATGGTCAAAACAAAACCATGTTGAGTCAAAGTGTGTCCAACTCCACTTCACAAAACATGACATTTTTGATTGACCAGAAACATACAGCCTGGTGTCTTGGAAAAATCTAACAACTGAGGTTTATGAAATAATTCAGAATTATAAATGGCAATATGAATGAATGAGTCTAATCTGAGACCAGCTGTTCCTTGACAGCAAATCACAAGTCAGTATTAGATCACCACTGCAAGTGGCTCTATTTGACTCACAAGGATGTGTCGAGTTGATAAGGTGACCGATTAACACTCACCCTGTCAGCTTCACACCCAGGGGACCCTGCCTTGATAAGAGACCAGAAGAAAAAAAACACAAAAGCACAAAAAAGACCACAGAGATAAGACAGATTCAACTAATTTTCTTCTGCTCTGTTTTTAACTCTATTGGCATTTGTACATGAATTTGGTGGGCTGTTTCCATTTCTGACTTTGATTGAGGTTAGCTGGCTGACAGACTGAGGAATAAACCCACATACACACACTCAGATATATAATCAGACATTGACAGGTCCATACACCAGCGTGCCCACACTCAGGGCACATACACGAACACCTGTTTAGTGCATGCACACACACACATACACACACACACACAAATTGCTCGACTTCAGTGTGAATGCTGCTCTTCAGCGCCCACACAACCAAGTCGTCATTATGGCCCTCTGAAACCCAACCCTGGAGATAATGACAGCCCAGGAGGGAGATTACCCCCCTCCTCCCCACACAGGCATCTACACTGTACGCCCACATCCACACTACAGACGCAGAGATGAGTGGAAATAAAGGGAAACACTTACATAGACAGCACAGAAGGGCTTAATACTGTTGCACCGTCGCACATTGAACAATTTGCATTTGCGTACAAACAGAAAAACAGCAAAGAATACATTCACAGTGACACTCGGGCACTTCTCCACAATAAATGAGTTCACATCCAGGCACAAAAAAAGTACGGTTTTAGTATCTGGCTTTTGTCTCCCCCCAGTCCTTTGCAAATCTAAAACACGACTACAACAAAGCAGGTTCTAGTAAACATGAGCAAGTTGAGCAATCTCATCTAAATTATGCCAATAAAAGTGAGTAGCAATAACTCTACATGCATGAGAGAACACCGTCTAACCAAAAAGCCATTTTTGTGGATTAAAACTGGTTTGCAAGATAGTAATCACTGTAGAAGATAACACAAAAACGAAACAGATTACTAATATGTTTTGTTTTTGGTGATAAGGCCATAAGCAGTGAATGGCCTTATCACCATTATTTTATTAATATTTCATTCACTTTGCAACAAACTGCCCCCTCCCCTTTTATGTGCTTCTGATAACCCGGTGCCTTGGTGGACTCCCTTAATGATGTATCTATATTTGGTGCGTTATCTCTGCAACCCACTGCCTTTAACTCTAAAAGCACATCATGACAAATGAAAGAAAAACAGATACAGAAGGTCATCAGGGCAGCAAGGTGCTGATTCCTCCCTCTGGGAGGTAATTTGTTTTCAGGCTTCAGACTTCACAAAGGTTCAGCACAGGAAATAGTCAACATCTCAACCCATGAGCATGCAGAAGATCATCAAGCTAGAAAAAGCGTGTCCCCAAGGCCCAGTGACATCATCTGTTTGAATTTCCACTCCAGAGATCAGAAAATAGGGATTACTCTGCACTGGCATAAGACAGTATCAATAGCAGTGTACTTTTTGGTGCTTTTCCTATTGATTTCCTGTGTATATGTACATGTGTATCTATGTATTTTGCAGCTGTTGTTTGGATTTGGTTATCCTCTGTTTTTCTTGGCAGGATTTGTGAATTACGTGGCTCTGTGGAAACACCAAGAATGTGCATGCATATGTACACACACACTAAGGCATACATGTGCTGGTAGCTAAGCAACAAGCTCTAATTACCTTCTGCAATTCAATAATGTTCAGCAAAACATTCATTTGCAGGGGAGCAGTCTTAAGATACATGACACAGAACCCATACGGGACAAAAGATAAGAGATATGTTACCTAATGACTATATTGCCATGTATATTTTCCATGCATTTCCACTGTTAAACATACAGCGAGATATATTATACACAAGATGTGCATTATCTCACTTTCACTCAAACGACTTGTTTGTCAACATTAAATGGCTAATGCAGTAAAAGGGAAACCTTTGCGCACTCTGGGAAAGCACACAGGAACAATAAACGTGTGTGCGTGTAGTGGGGGGTGGGTTGTGGGGGTGGGGATTGTGTATTTTTCTGCTGCTCTAAATGTTATCTGTAGACACATGCCTTGCATTTCTCTCTAAAAACATAGTGATGGCGTTTAACTGATAGGATCCCCAGTGACACTAGGCAGATGAACAAAGAAATAAAATGATAGGTAGTGGTATACCAAAGCATTTGCAAGTTATCTATTCCAATTCATTAATTAAGACTTGATCTGGCTCATTGTGAGCAAACATCAGTTATTGAAATCGTATAAACCTCAGAAATCAAACAGTACTGACAAAAAACACATTGTAACTTTACTTCATTTAAATAGCAGCACAGACTCTCTAGTGACAAACTGTCCAAGTCTTTGGACCTTAGGGCAAGATAAACATCTATCTTTTTACTTTGAACATTACTCAAAATGAAATGTTAATCATAATCAGTATCTGCGCAGCAACTGCCCCTCTACATTGATAGGGAGAGCTTTGTTTTCTGTCAACAGTTGTTATGCTGTGATTACACCAAGCAAAGCAAAGTTTCTTTGTGGCCAGATTTCAGACACAGTTTATGCAGCAAAGCAAATTGATATACAAATCAAGGGAAATCAGCATCTTGCAGGAATTACAATATTTTAACTTTGGAAGAAAAATTGCTTCTCAGTATGTCCCTTAGAGCTGGGATTATCCTGATGCTGACAATGAGAAATTGAGAACTAATTTATTGACTGTGTTTGTGGGCAGCTGGAGCTGTCTGATTCAACTGCACTTCTAGATAAAGATAGGGAGAAAAGGAGTGGGCTTGGAGAGAAGTGAGTGAAATTATAGGACTTAATGGTAAGTTCTGAAAAAATGTTTCTGATTTAAGCTATCAGTTGTACTCCTCCTCCTCTGCCTTTTGTTGGATGTTAGGGGTGCACATTTTTATTATGTGAATACACCATGAGAGGTCGTGTTCACCCACGTAAACACTGTCCATAATTGCCGGCTAGATGTGATTGCCACCTTCAGCTCCATCTGATTTGTCCAGGCAACTGCAGTATGAACTGGCAGAATGTCAGATATCTCCAGATACCACTAGGGTCATGCCATTTAGTGTGTTTTCAGATACAGCATCTGCTGTAGCCTAGCAAAAAAAGCTTCTTAAGTCCCCTGTCATTCCTGTTTCTTTAAGCAATTTTCACTCATTGTCTGAGAGTGTTTGGACACTTGTTAGATAACATTGTAGGCAAAGCGTCTGGTTTTAGTCTTTGCTTATAACCACCAGTATTCATAAGTCTTTTTCTCGAACTCAAATGGATCAAATGCAACAGAACAAAATACTGAGAACACAACCACACGTCTTTTGGAAGCTTCAATGGTTCTGCTCCTTTTTCCTGTTGTTTTTAACAGGAAAGCCGTGAAAACTAGAAAACTAATATCACTTCCCTTCTCAACTAGGAAATACAACAAAGCAGTGTGTGTGTGTGTGTGTGTGTGTGTGGGGGGGGTGTCGTCTCCATACTTCTCCATAGTGTAGAACGGGGAACTGGATTAGGAACTGGATTCACCTACAGCAGGAACACAGCTTCAACATCACTGAGCCGCAGTGCATTGAGGATAAAACGTTATGGAAGCCTTCATATAAAGTCTCACAAGTTGAAATAGTGAAAGTTCATTTTAACACACAAATCTCTGACAAATCAAAAGTAAGTCCACCATACAAAGCTTTGGCTGCCAGTTTCCTCTTTGCAAGCCAGTATACAATGGACTGCTGATCCTTTAGTGAGATGCCTTCATTTCAGCACCATGGAGAGCTCCACAGCACTCAGCCATGCCTGAGGCTAATTTTTCCCCTCTTGGGTAGCAAACAGCATCTGTTGGTCTGCCTCTCCAACCGCAGCGATAACTGTACTCCCAAACACTACAGCACTCTGGTGACTGTAGCGCCAGTCAAGGGTAAATAAATAAATAAATATATATATACTTCATCCAGCTATACCCTGAAAAACACAAATCTCGTTATAGCTGTTACAAGTAGAATTTTCAGCTAATTCTATTTTATGTGATTTTCTTATTTCAGTAGAATTCTGGCCAAAGTAGTATCAGTTTGCTCAATTTATTGTCATTTACTCTAGGAGAGACTTCTTCTTAATAAAGACTGCAAGATTTCAGGTTCTCTGTTGTTGTTATTGTACAAAAAAGATCCACAATATTCCTGGGCAGTCTCTCACATGTCACACACACAAACTTAAAGAGAGCTTTTCGTGCTACCTGTCATCATTCTGAAATGTCTGGTCCCCCAGCAGCAAGTCCCTGAATCGGTAACGAGGTGGGAGCGGAGGCACCCCTGAATCCACATCGGCCATCTTGAGAGCTGAGATGTCCAGAATAACACCAGAGTTGCTGCTGTTGTTTTTCTGCACGGTCTCAGTGGATGGCCTGCATGACGAGAAAGACAGCAGAATCTGCTCAGCAACCTGTCTGCTAGTACAACGGTGACATTTTAAAACAACATATTCAGCTGAGAACAGACATAACAAAAGTGTACGTGACGCTGTTAATTTAGAGACTGGCTCTAATTGAAAAAGCATATTACAAAGTTTTAAAATATATGTGAGGAAAGTTATGGTTGTATAATGCACTTGTCTGCAATCACAAAGGTGGTTGCTCGGGGGAACAATGACAAACATTTTACTGTAATGCTCACATGCCAATTTATTCACATGGGACAAAAAGGAAACCACAGCAAACAAAGGCCCATTATCCATTCCATGAAATCCCAAGTAAACATGACATGCATTTATGAGGATGACACACTGAGCACACTGATAATGACAATGAAGATTCTTGACCAGCTATTAAGCTCTTGTGCTGCTAACACAGCTGAGAAAACAGCTTAAGCAGAAATGGTTTGCAATGGGCACACAGACCCTATTTTAAGCCTAAATTCTGACATGGATAATAATCTAAACCATGTGACTTGATGCAACTGACTTATTTCACAAACATCTTGTATTATTAAACAAAGGAAACATACAAACATGCATACATGCATTATTCAAAAAGAAAAAAAAATGGCCCACCAGAGGAGGAAGGGAACGACATATGAATATGCAACCTATTTACATTTTACAATATACATTATTGCTGCAGCTGCAGCCTTATTGGTCCATCCCCAATAAACATTTCCCTGGTCACATAAAACGACGGGCAAATTAAAAACTACTGCAACCAGAACGTCAACAGTTAAAATCCAGACATTAGAAATGAAGCCAGAAGGACGATGGTTTGTTGCAACAATTGCTGAGAAGTGTATATTACACTTAGTGTAATACTACATGACGCCATTACCTTGATTAATACTACTTCACATCAGCTCTCTCTCACCAGCTCCACATGCAATATGTTTCAAGGAAAAGGAGGAACTAGAAGTAACTAATGCAGCTTTAAATGTCAGCACTATGCAGTAGCCTAATGACTCACACTGATATTAAATGAGATTGGTGCAAATAAATTAGCTGAAGTAAAATGTTTTTCATTTTTCATTTCTCTTGCACCTATTGTCATTTATTATTTTACTTTTTAAAACAAAACTTTAATTTATGGCAACTAACAGGTGGATGCAAGCTGTAGTCAGCACTTCTCTCCAAGGCTTCTGCTCTGCTAATTCAAGTCATGGACTAGAGCTCAAGGTTATTGTGGTTGTGGTGGTGCTTTATGTAATAAATTGTCTAGTTTTCTGTTTGGCTGACTGTATTTAAATCCCATCAAATTTATGAATGTAGCCTGCAAATGAAGCAAGTCTCCATGAGCTGGTAACTCAACACTTAAAGCTTTTGCCCAAACACTTTTATTTCAAGCTCCAAAATGACTCAAGGAATGCAAAGAGCAACTTGAAAATTCAGATTACATTTTGATAAGGCAATCTATGGAGCAGTAGTAGTGGAGGCACACTACAGGTAAAGACCATTTTCAAAGAACAATGTGCATTTACACAAAATTAAGCAGCTGTTTTTTTCAAATATTGTGGCTAATTATTGCATGCGTTTCCACCTTGTCACACAGTAACACATGTAGGGAAGTTCTTCAGGAAGTTACCTGTCACCGAGGGAACTCGATGATCGGCGTGGAGGGTTCATCACTGGCTCTTACAGGGGGACATAGATGATGAGCGAGAGCGAGAGCGAGCGAGAGAGAGAAAAGGGAAAAGAGAGATTAAACAACACTTATAAAAACTCTCCTCTTAAGACCTTTTGAAAGAGGTCGATCACATCCACTGCCTGTTTCACAGCTTACACGCAAAGATCAGTGCGCACTCTCAAACTTTCTGGTTTTTACATAGAACAGGATTACACCAACACATTTATGCAAGGGTACAGTTTGATATTACCGAGTTGTCCCTCTCCAACATCTCCACTCGATGGTGCTTAACTTTTTTATATTGCATCGTTTCATAAAGTGGAAAGCAGCAAGTGGGTTAATCAGCTACTATCTGCATGTGTTTATTAAAGGCACCCTAGTGTACATTTTAATCTTTGCAATAGTGAGGAGGGATTCCCTTGTCAAGATGCTGTTAGCACATTTTTTTCTGCCCATGAAGCAAAACAAACAGATGGAAGGTCATTTCAGAAACAGGACAAAGACCGTTCTTAAATACATACAGTGTAGGTACAATATACCAAAGCTTCATCTGTCTGGTTGAACAAGATGGGCATCCGTGTCTGCACTTCCATGACATTTTTTTTACATTTCCAGCTAAAAGATAAATCTAGACTTTCTGTTGATGTGCCTTTGGTTTATTGCTAAACTGTCTACAGAGGGAAAATAAGTGGGTAATACAGAGCTAAGTGTGTGTCTGTGGTTTTCATACTACGGTGTGGGCAATCTTGAGTGGGCTAATAGCAACCAGAGACATGATCTCCCTTATTAACTGTGAAGGCACAGTCCCCCAGAAGGGCAGACAGAGAAAAGAGAGATAGGTTATGACCGCGAGTACGGTGGAGAGGAAAGAAAGCAAAAACCAGAAACAAAAGGAGGTGAATGCAGAAGAATAAAGAATATAGTACTCTCAATGTGTTCTTTACTTTAGGAGACATCAGAAGTTAAGAAGAACTACATGACAAGATAAAAGAGACAAAGAACTGTACATTCAGCTGTGCAAGTAAAATTAGCACATCCCCATACAGTATAAAAGAAAAAAAAATACAGAGCCTGTGACCTCTGAGAGCTCACTTAATGGAGGAGGCAAAGTGACCACAATAAAAGGGAAAAAGAGTCGCTTGCGGTAAGAGAGTGTCTCCTTTTAATGGAGCGAATATCGTGGATTCAGACCAAAGAGAGCAGATGGAGCAAGGAAAAGCATGTGCAGGGAAGGCATAAAACTTGTCTTTAAATAAATAACGGGAACCAGGGCGAGAAGAAGACTAAAAAGAATCAAATTCGACTTACAATGGCTGTAAAACTCTGCAATCGTCTTCTTCAGAATTATGTATTTCAAAAGGTCAGATGAGACTAACTGCCTTTCAGATTTCAATGCAGAGACCAATATCTAGACATAATGCTCAGCACAGTCTGCAAGCAAAAAAAGGAAATCTGTGATTAAAACCATCATCTGTGAAACATATTTATCAAAATTCCACATTTGAAAAAAGTTTGTTAGTGACAACAAAACTTTTAA